GCTTTACAGTACATCTTCCATATGTCCAATATAGCCATTGGTTGTCAGGTGGTGAAGATGGTGTAAGATGGTGTCAGATGCTTTGTTTGTCAGACGCTTGTAGTGTGGTGTCGGATGGTGTAGGATGGTTCAGCTGAACAGCTGTTGTCAGGTGGTAAATATGGTGTAAGATGGTGAAGATGGTTTAATGGGGGGGGAGTGTTAATTTTTAACCTACTTGTGCACATATAGTGTTGCCTCGTTCTTTCCGCCACGTATATATCAATAAAACCTACCAGACCAACGACAAAAGCGTTATGGCTAATTGTGCGTATATATATAGTGTTGCCTCGTTCTTTCAAAACACGTATATATCAATAAAGCCTACCAGACCAACGACAAAAGCGTTATGGCTAATTGTGCATATATAGTGTTGCCTCGTTCTTTCAAAACCACGTAGCTATATATCAATAAAACCTACAAGACCAACGACAAAAGCGTTATGGTTATTGTATATTATTATATAGTGTTGCCTCGTTCTTTAAAAAACACGTTTCGTATGTAGTAAACTGTAGTAGCAAACGCGTCGACGCTTTAACAACGTCAAAAATTGTGAATTTATACATTTCATATGTATACAATCATGCTTATATTCACTTTGACATTTTAGGCATTTCCGGGCAGGAAACTATAAATTATAATAGTTATAACATGCACTAGCGGGCTGTAACGCAGACATGCTATGTCAATGACAAATACATGCATAAGCCAGCAGGGTTCTTGTTTTAATCGTGTACGCACTTTATATAACTGAATGTAGCGATTCATTGCATTATTACCTTTTACTGCTTCAAATTCGGCCGTAAACTACAATAACAAATAGAAAAGGCAGGCAACTCAGTCTAAAGTAAAACACTAGGAAGATGAGATCATGTGCGTAATCTTTGCAAAGTTTTCAAACGAATTTAACTTCCAATTACAAAATGCAAATTTCAATATACGGTACAAAATATGTTTCAAACTCCTCGAAAATATAATATATAAAAATGTTTGACACGTACAGTCTGGCTATATATACTGAGCACGGAACTTAACACTGAGTAATACATGCATAGACTGTAATAAGAGCCTGCGGAGTGCGGTGCGGTGCATACAGCGCTCAATTATGCGACGACTTAAAACTATATACAGAACAAAACGTGAAAACGACGAATATATTTTACTATCGCAAGCGAGTATAATTAGATCATTTTCTAATTTACTTTAACTGTCAGAAAAGACAGCAATACAATAGCCTATATTATACTCGTTTTCAACTGCCTATACTTTGTAATTTACGTCGTCAAGGACAATTACAGGGCTCTATAGATGCGTAAAGACTATAGGCCACGTATAGACGTTTTTCGTATATACTTTTAGTAACGTTGTCAAGGACAATGTGCCATTGACATTGACTAATTGATTGTACATGTTAATAGCGACTATTTTGTGTTAGTAACCAGAGCCGCGAGGATTCACATCGAGTCACCGAAGGACTCATTACAGAATAAATCGTTTTACTGGGTTGCTCCCAAATATAGCCATGCATTTTCGATTCAGTTTTGGTGACTGGTGTTTTACAATTATATAATCATTCATGAAATCGATATATTAAATTTCCTTAAAATATCCTCAAACCATTGGCAAGTACATTTATATTTGTTATATAATTTTAATTTTCAAACCACTGTATGCATGCATGCATCGTGGACATTGTGAACTTAATAAAATAACACTTGTCAAAAATCGGTCTTCCATACCCAGCTTGTTCGCAGGCGCGAGGTATTCTCCCACCTAAAAAAGTTCCACAGAATTCCACTCCTCATACAATGTTAAATTTACAAATAACGCTAAGATTATCAGATTAACATCATACAAAAATTATAATAATGAACTCTTTATATGTAAAATCTACTAACCTAGTGACATAAAGACAGAAACCTGCACTAACTCCCGTATCACGCTAAAAGTTCACTCATACTCAATGCATGAGGGGAGGTTCAATCTGAGCTTCTCTTGAAGTGTTTCAATAGCTGCTGGGAATGTGAGTATGGTCATATGGTAACGGTACAACACTAACCCTCCAGCTATTCAAAAACAGCAATGACACTTGAGAGAAAGTCAGACTGAACTTCCACTCATTGAGTGTGAGTGAGCTTTTAGAATACGGGCGTAAGACTACTTTCAAAACTACGGCAACGGTACATAAAACGGTTACCAAAATTCGCCGAAATTATGCAGTATTTCATGCTCTTTCCAATGATGTACCGCAAATTGGGGCACAAGCTCACCATACGCTTGAACAACGTCGCAATACTATGTGCATTGATCTTATCAGTAAAATGTCTGACCCTCAACACAAACTGCACCATCTTCTTCCTAATAAACTTTGCAAGGTACGGCAAAGGGTTACACGTCAGAATGGTCAATTGTTTTACAATTACCACTACAGAACAGAACGTTTTCGGAACAGTCCAATCGTTTCGTCAATTGAACTCTATAATAACTCTATTTTATAATATAATATATAATATAACTTTATATATTTTTATCGAAACATTTTTAACACGTAGTGATAGTTTTTGGATTAGTCCATTTGTTTCGCCATTTGAACATTTGTTAATAACTCTCTTTTTTAATATAAATATCTCATTTGAAACTTTTATAATACCTAATGTAGATAGTTCAGTAATTAATGTATATTTTCTATATATATGTAACGCGCGTTCTAATTTAGTTACTTACTGTAGCTATTCAATGTGTAATCTTTCTATAATAATAATAATAATAATAATAATAATAATGTCAAAAAGGCAAGGATTAATAAGGTGGTAATTGCTTTTGTTTATAGAATTACATTGTGCAAACATCTATATTCCGCAAGATCTGTATTCCTAATTGTTGTGAAACTCAACATATTGTGCAGTATTTCATGCTCTTACTAATGAAGTGAAGCAAATTGGGGTACAAGCTCACCAACGTCATTATATTTGACATTAATGTAGCACAATCGTTTAAAACTGGCTGTGTTAAATGTCACTCGATCGTATCGTCCTTTGTCGAGAATGGGGCAATAAGCCCTGTAGGGATCACCAATCATTAATGACAAAGCTAGTAAATAAATAAAATAAAACGGCAAGGATTAATAAGGTGCTAATTATTGCTTTAATTTGTTTATAGAATTACAATCATTTCTTTTGTTTATATATTAAATGTTAAACAATAGTATTTACACTGTGCTAACATCTATATTCAGCAAGCGCTTGTACAAAATCGGCCTCCCTAATTATTTCGAAACTCAGCTATATGGTGCAGGAGTTTGCTCATGTTACTGCTAATTTAAAGTAAAAAATACCTTAAAAGTAGCCAGAAAAGGGGTTCGAATAATCTACTTTTGAATAATTGAATACAGTTGAATGTGAAGCCCAATCTAAGGCCGAATCTGGGGCCCAATTCGCGGCTACCTGACAGTGCTAAAACGACTGTTATCTCTAAGCGAAGGCATGGCTGCAAATCTACTTACGAAGTTTTGAACATTCAACCAGGGCGCTATAAACATACGCGCGCTTAATATAGTCTAGTGTAGATCCTAGACCCGAACACAAAAACGGAAGCCGTCTCAAATTTCAACACTTTGATTTATGAGATATATGTCTCCCATGGATGCCTCAAAATTTCTCCCATTTATACACTAGTCGTCTATTTCCCTTACATACAATAGAATTCAAACATAATGCCCCTATACAGTAAATCTACCCAACCGAATTGGTGTCGTTACAGTAAGAAACTGTTGCTTGTAGAAATAAAAGCCTACAATGAAGACTTTTCTGTCAACGCCGCGCGATAAGTTCAGCAAAATTCAATTTTTATTACCTCGAACATGTCTGTCAAATGTGATATTTTGCCTAATACTTTGAATTACGCTTCTCACATGAGAACCGCATTGTGAGATATCATATATTTATATTATATTATTATTTGTTAGTTGTTACCTCGAACATGACTGTCAAACGCGTTTAAATATATTTTGCCAAATACTTTGAATTACCTTTCCAACATGAGAACCGCATTGTGAGATATCATATATTCATATTATATTTTTATTTATTACCTCCAAAATGTCTGCCAAATGCGTTTTAATATATTTTTCCAAATACTTTAAATTGCGTTTCCCACATGAGAACGGCAACGTGAAATGTCATATATTCATATTATATTTTTATTTATTACGTTCAACATGTCTGTCAAATGCGTTTAAATATATAAACGTCGAACATGTCTGTCAAATGTGTTTAAATATATATTTTGCCAAATACTTTGAATTACGTCACACACGAGAACCGCAATGTTAGATATAACATATTTTTATACACATACCATAGTTGGCTAAAGTGTATGTAAGTATAAAATATAGCAATGTAATATCTAATATAAGCATCCTACAACGAATGACACCCCGCGACCATCATACACCATCTGTACCATCTTCAACATCTGACAGCTCTTCCCTGTATAACCACCACACACCATCATACACCATCTGACAACCATCTGACACACTTCGACCATCATACACCAGCATACACCCTCTGACAACCATCTGACACACTTCGACCATCATACACCATCTGTACCATCTTCACCATCTCACAACCCCCCTGTATAACCAACCCACTCCATCATACACCATCTGAAAACCATCTGACACACTTCGACCATCATACACCATCTGTACCATCTGAAAAAAAAATCTGACACACTTCGACCATCATAAACAACCGTTCCTCGCGGTGAGGACAAAGTTCCTGGCGGTTCAATGTTCCTGGCGGTGAGGACAAAGTTCCTGGCGGTGAGGACAAAGTCCTGGCGGTGAGGACAAGGTTTCTGGCAGTCAGGACAAGGTCCCTGGCGGAGAGGACAAGGTGCCTGGCGGTGAGGACAAGGTACCTGGCGATGAGAACAAGGTTCCTGGCGGTGAGGACATGGTTTCTGGCCGTGAGGACAATGTTCCTGGCGGTGAGGACAAAGTTCCTGGCGGTGAGGACAAGGTTTCTGGCAGTGAGGACAAGGTCCCTGGCGGAGAGGACAAGGTACCTGGCGGTGAGGACAAGGTACCTGGCGATGAGGACAAGGTTCCTGGCGCTGAGGACATGGTTCCTGGCCGTGAGGACAATGTTCCTGGCGGTGAGGACAAAGTTCCTGGCGGTGAGGACAAGGTTTCTGGCAGTGAGGACAAGGTCCCTGGCGGAGAGGATAAGGTACCTGGCGGTGAGGACAAGGTACCTGCCGATGAGGACAAGGTTCCTGGCGGTGAGGACATGGTTCCTGGCCGTGAGGACAATGTTCCTGGCGGTGAGGACAAAGTTCCTGGCGGTGACGACAAAGTCCTGGCGGTGAGGACAAGGTCTCTGGCAGTGAGGACAAGGTCCCTGGCGGAGAGGATAAGGTTCCTGGCGGTGAGGACAAGGTCCCTGGCGGTGAGGGCAAGGTTCCTGGCGCTGAGGAAAAGGTTTTTCGCGTTGAGTACAAATTTCCTGCCGGTGAGGACAAGGTTCCTGCCGGTGAGGACAAGGTTCCTGGCGGTGAGGACAATGTTCCTGGCGGTGAGGACAAGGTTCCTGGCGTTGAGGACAAGGTTCCAAGCGGGGAGGACAAGGTTCCTGGCGCTGAGGAAAAGGTTTTTGGCGTTGAGTACAAAATTCCTGCCGGCGAGGACAAGGTTCCTGGCCGTGAGGACAAGGTTCCTGGCGGTGAAGACAAGGTTCCTGGCGGTGGGGACTAGGTTCCAAGCGGTGAGGACAAGGTTCCTCGCGGTGAGGACAAGGTTTGTGACGCTGAGGAAAAGGTTTTTGGCCTTGAGTACAAAGTTCCTGGCGGTGACGTCAATGTTCCTGGCAGTGAGGACACGGTTCCAAGCGGTGAGGACAGGGTTCCAGGCGCTGAAGAAAAGGTTTTTGGCGTTGAGTACAAAGTTTCTGGCGGTGAGGACAAGGTTCCTGGCGGTGAGGACAAGGTTCGCGGTAGTACGGACAAGGTTTCTGGCGGTGAGGACAATGTTCCTGACGGTGTGGACAAGGATCCAAGCGGTGAGGACAAAGTTCCTGGCGCTGAGGAAAAGGTTTTTGGTGTTGCGTACAAAGTTCCTGGCGGTGAGGACAAGGTTCTTGGCGGTGAGGACAAGGTTCCTGGCAGTAAGTACGAGGTTTCTGGCGGTGAAGACAAGGTTTCTGGCGGTGAGGACAAGGTTCCAAGCTGTGAGGACAAGGTTCCTGATGCTGAGGAAAAGGTTTTTGACGTTGAGTACAAAGTTCCTGGCGGTGAGAACAAGGCTCCTGGCGGTGAGAACAATGTTCCAAGCGGTGAGGACAAGGTTCCAGGCGCTGAGGAAAAGGTATTTGGCGTTGAGTACAAAGTTCCTGGCGGTGAGAACAAGGTTCCTGGCAGTGACGACAAGGTTCCTGACGGTGAGGACAAGGTTCCTGGCAGTAAGGACAAGGTTCCTGGCAGTGCGGACAAGGTTACTGGCGTTGAGGACAAGGTTCCTGGCCGTGAGGACAAGGTTCCTAGCGCTGAGGAAAAGGTTTTTGGCTTTGACTACAAAGTTCCTGGCGGTGAGGACAAGGTTTCTGGCGGTGAGAACAAGGTTCCAAGCGGTGAGAACAAGGTTCCTAGCGCTGAGGAAAGGTTTTTGGCGTTGAGTACAAAGTTCCTGGCGGTGACGACAAGGTTACTGGAGGTGAAGACAAGATTCCTGGCAGAGGGGACAAGGTTCCTGGCGGTGAGGACAAGGTTCCTGCCGATGAGGCCAAGGTTTCTGGCGGTGAGGACAAGGTTCCTGGCGCTGAGGAAAAGGTTTTTGACGTTGACTACAAAGTTCCTAGCGGTGAGGACAAGGTTTCTGGCGGTAAGGACAAGGTTCCAAGCGATGAGGACAAGGTTCCTAGCGCTGAGGAAAGGTTTTTGGCGTTGAGTACAAAGTTCCTGAATGTGAGGACAAGGTTACTGGCGGTGAAGACAAGGTTCCTGGCAGTGGGGACAAGGTTCCTGGCGGTGAGGACAAGGTTCCTGGCTGTGAGGGCAAGGTTCCTGGCGGTGAGGACAAGGTTGCTGGCGGTGAGGACAAGGTTTTTGGCGTTGAGTACAAAGTTCCTGTCGGTGAGGACAAGGTTACTGGCGGTCAAGACAAGGTTCCTGGCAGTGGAGACAATGTTCCTGGCGGTGAGGACAAGGTTCCTGGCGGTGAGGGCAAGGTTCCTGGTGGTGAGGACAAGGTTCCTCGCGCTGAGGACAAGGTTCCTGGCGGTGAGGAGAAGGTTCCTCGCGCTGAGGACAAGGTTCCAAGCGGTGAGGACAAGGTTCCTAGAGCTGAGGAAAGGTTTTTGGCGTTGAGTACAAAGTTGCTGGCGGTGAGGACAAGGTTCCTTGCGGTGAGGACCAGGTTCCTGGCGGTGAGGACAAGGTTCCTGGCGGTGAGGACAATGTTCCAAGCGGCGAGGACAAGGTTCCTGGCGCTGAGGAAAGGTTTTTGGCGTTGAGTACAAAGTTCCTGGCGGTGAGGACAAGGTTACTGGCAGTGAAGACAAGGTTCTTGGCATTGGGGACAAGGTTCCTGGCGGTGACGACAAGGTTGCTGGCGATGAGGACAAGGTTCCCGGCAGTGAGGACAAGGTACCAACCGGTTAGGACAAGGTTCCTGGCGGTGAGGACAAGGTTCCTGCCGGTGAGGACAAGGTTCCAAGCGTGGAGGACAAGGTTCCTGGCGCTGAGGAAAAGGTTTTTGGCATTGAGCACAAGGTTCCTGGCGGTGCGGACAAGGTTCCTGGCGGTGAAGACAATGTTCCTGGCGGTGAGGACAAGGTTCCTGGCGGTGATGACAAGATTCCTGGGGCTAAGGAAAAGGTTTTTGGCGTTGAGTACAAAGTTCCTGGCGGTAAGGACAAGGTTCCTGGCAGTGAGGACAAGGTTCGAAGCGGTGAGGACAAGGTTCCGGGCGCTGAGGAAAAGGTTTTTGGCGTTGACTACAAAGTTCCTGGCGGTGAGGTCAAGGTTCCTGGCAGTGAGGACAAGGTTCCAAGCGGTGAGGACAGGGTTCTGCGCGCTGAAGAAAAGGTTTTTGGCGTTGAGTACAAAGTTTCCGGCGGTGAGGACAAGGTTCCTGTCGGTAAGGAAAGGGGTCCAAGCCGTTAGCACAAGGTTCCTGGCGGTGAGGACAAGGTTCCTGGCGCTGAGGAAAAGGTTTTTGGCGTTGGGTACAAAGTTCCTGGCGGTGAGAACAAGGTTCCAAGCGGCGAGGACAAAGTCCTGGCGCTGAGGAAAAAGTTTTTGGCGTTGAGTCCAAAATTCTTGGCGGTCAGGACAAGGTTCCTGGCGGTGAGAACAAGGTTCCTGGCGGTGACGACAAGGTTTCTGGTGGTGAGGACTAGGTTCCAAGCGGTGAGGACCAGGTTCCTGGCGGTGAGGACAAGCTTCCTGGCGCGCGCTGAGGAAAAGGTTTTTGGCGTTGAGTACAAAGTTCCTGGAGGTGAGGACAAGGTTCCTGGCGGTGAGGACTAGGTTCCAACCGGTGACGACAAGGTTCCTGGCGCTAAGGAAAAGGTTTTTGGCGTTTAGTACAAAGTTCCTGGCGGTGAGCACAAGTTTCCTGGCGGTGAGGACAAGGTTCCAAGCGGTTAGCACAAGGTTCCTGGCGGTGAGGACAAGGTTCGTGGCGCTGAGGAAAAGGTTTTTTGGCGTTGGGTACAAAGTTCCTGGCGGTGAGGACAAGGTTCCTGGCGGTGAGGACAAGGTTCCAAGCGGGGAGGACAAGGTTCCTGGCGCTGAGGAAAAGGTTTTTGCCGTTGAGTACAAAGTTCCTGGCGGTTAGGACAAGGTTACTGGCGGTGAAGACAAGGTTCCTGGTAGTGGGGACAAGGTTCCTGGCGGTGAGGACAACGTTGCTGGCGGTGAGGAGAAGGTTCCTGGCGGTGAGGACAAGGTTCCTGGCGGTTAGGACATGGCTCCGGGACGTGAGGGCTGGGTCCCTGGCGGTGAGGACAAGATTTCCTGGCGGTGAGGACAAGTTTCCTGGCGGTGAAGACAAGGTTTCTGGCGGTGTGGGGAAGGTTGCAAACAATGAAAACAAGGTTCCCGACCCTGAGGAAAGGTGTTTGGCGTTGAGTACAAAGTTCCTGGCGGTGAGGACAAGGTTCCTGACAGTCAGGACAAGGTTCCAAGCGGGGACGACAAGGTTCCTGGCGCTGAGGAAAAGGTTTTTAGCGTTGAGTACAAAATTCCTCGCGGTGAGGACAAGGTTCCTGGTGGTGAGAGCAAGGTTCCTGGCGGTGAAGACAAGGTTTCAGGCGGTGAGGACTAGGTTCCAAGCGGTGAGGACAAGGTTCCTGGCGGAGAGGACAAGGTTCCTGGAGCTGAGGAAAAGGTTTTTAGCGTTGACTACAAAGCTCCTGGCGGTGAGGTCAGGGTTCCTGGCAGTGAGGACAAGGTTCCAAGCGGTGAGGACAGGGTTCCGCACGCTGAAGAAAAGGTTTTTGGCTTTGAGTACAAAGTTTCTGGCGGTGAGGACAAGGTTCCTGGCGGTGAGGACAAGGTTCCTGGCGGTAAGGACAAGGTTCCTGGCGGTGAGGACAAGGTTCCTGGCGGTGATGACAAGGTTCCTGGGGCTGAGGAAAAAGGTTTTTGGCGTTGAGTACAAAGTTCCTGGCGGTGAGGACAAGGTTCCTGGCAATGAGGACAAGGTTCCAAGCTGTGAGGGCAGGGTTCCTGGCGCTGAGGAAAAGGTTTTTGGCCTTGAGTACAAAGTTCTTGGCGGTGAGGACAAGGTTCCTGGCATTGAGGACAAGGATCGAAGCGGTGAGGACAGGGTCCTGGCGGTGAGGAAAAGGTTTTTCGCGTTGAGTACAAAGTTCCTGTCGGTGAGGACTAGGTTCCAGGCAGTGAGGTCAAGGTTCCAAGCTGTGAGGACAGGGTTCCTGGCGCTGAGGAAAAGGTTTTTGGCCTTGAGTACAAAGTTCCTGGCGGTGAGGCCAAGGTTCCTGGCGGTCAGGACAAGTGTCCTGGCGGTGAGGTCAAGGTTCCTGGCGGTGAGGACAAGGTTCCTAGCGCTGAGGCAAAGGTTTTTGACGATGAGTACAAAGTTCCTGGCGGTGAGGACAAGTTTCTGGCGGTGAGGACAAGGTTCCTGGCGCTGAGGAAAAGTTTTTGGCGTTGAGTACAAAGTTCCTGGCGGTGAGGACAAGCTTACTGGCGGTGAAGACAAGGTTCCTGGTAGTGGGGACAAGGTTCCCGGCGGTAAGGACAAGGTTCCTGGCGGTGAGGACAATGTTCCTGGCGGTGAGGACAAGGTTTCTGGCGGTGAGAACAAGATTCTTGGCGGTAAGGATAATGTTCCTGGCGGTGAGGACAAGGTTCCTGGTGGTGAGGACAAGATTCCTGACGGAGAGGCCAACGTTGCTGGCGGTGAGGAGAAGGCTGCTGGCGGTGAGGACAAGGTTCCTGACGGTTAGGACAAGTCTCCTGGGCGTGAGGGCTGGGTCCCTGGCGGTGAGGACAAGATTTCCTGGCGGTGAGGACAAGTTTCCTGGCAGTGAAGACAAGGTTTCTGGCGGTGTGGGCAAGGTTACAAACGGTGAAGACAAGGTTCCTGGCCCTGAGGAAAAGGTTTTTGGCGTTGAGTACCAAAGTTCCTGGCGGTGAGGACAAGGTTCCTGGCGGTCAGGACAAGGTTCCTGGGAGTGAGGACAAGGTTACTGGCGGTGAGGACAAGGTTCCTGGTGGTGAGGGCAAAGTTCCTAGCGCTGAGGAAAGGTTTTTGGCGTTGAGTACAAAGTTCCTGGCGGTGAGGACAAGGTTACTGGCGGTGAAGGCAAGGTTCCTGGCAGTGGTAACAAAGTTCCTGGGGGTGAGGACAAGGTTCCTGGCGGTGAGAGCAAGGTTCCTGGCGGTGAGGACAAGGTTCCTAGCGCTGAGGAAAAGGTTTTTGGCGTTGACTACAAAGTTCCTGGCGGTGAGGACAAGGTTTCTGGCGGTGAGGACAAGGTTCCAAGCTGTGAGGACAAGGTTCCTAGCGCTGAGGAAAGGTTTTTGGCGTTGAGTACAAAGTTCCTGAAGGTGAGGTCAAGGTTACTGGCGGTGAAGACAAGGTTCCTGGCAGTGGGGACAAGGTTCCTGGCGGTGAGGACAAGGTTCCTGGCGGTGAGGGCGAGGTTCCTAGCGGTGAGGACAAGGTTCCTGGCGGTGAGGACAAGGTTTTTGGCGTTGAGTACAAAGTTCCTGTCGGTGAGGACAAGGTTACTGGCGGTGAAGACAAGGTTCCTGGCAGTGAGGACAAGGTTCCAGGAGGTGACGACAAGTTTCCTGGCGGTGAGAAGAAGGTTCCTGGCGGTGGGGACAAGGTTCTGGGCGGTGAGGACAATGTTCCTAGCGCTGAGGAAAAGGTTTTTGACGTTGAGTACAAAGTTCCTGGCGGTGAGGACAAGGTTACTGGCGGTGAAGACAAGGTTCCTGGCAGTGGGGACAAGGCTCCTGGCGGTGAGGACAAGGTTCCTGGCGGTGAGGGAAAGGTTCCTGGCGGTGAGGATAAGGTTCCTGGCGGTGAGGACAAGGTTCCTGGCGGTGGGGGCAAGGTTCCTGGCGGTGAGGACAAGCTTCCTGGCCGTGAGGACAAGGTTCCTGGCGGTGAGGAGAAGGTTCCTCGCGCTGAGGAGAATGTTCCAAGCGGTGAGGACAAGGTTCCAAGCGTTGAGGAAATGTTTTTGGCGTTGAGTACAATGTTCCTGGCGGTGAGGACAAGGTTCCTGGCGGTGATGACAAGGTTCCTGGGGCTGAGGAAAAGGTTTTTGGCGTTGAGTAGAAAGTTCCTGGCGGTGAGGACAAGGTTCCTGGCAGAGAGGACAAGGTTCCAAGCGATGAGGACGGGGTTCCAGGGGCTGAGGAAAGGCTTTTGGCTTTGAGTACAAAGTTCCTGGCGGTGAGGTCAAGGTTCCTAGCGGTGAGGGCAAGGTTCCAAGCGGTGAGGGCAAGGTTCCTGGCGGTGAGGACAAGGTTCCTGGCGCTGAGGAAAAGGTTTTTGGCGTTGAGTACTGGCGGTGATGACAAGGTTCCTGGGCCTGAGCAAAAGTTTTTGGCGTTGAGTACAAAGTTTCTGGCGGTGAGGACTAGGTTCCTGGCAGTGAGGACAAGGTTCCAAGCGGTTAGGCAAGGTTCCTGGCGGTGAGGACAAAGTTCCTGGCGCTGACGAAAAGGTGTTTGGCGTTGGGTACAAAGTTTCTGGCGGTGAGGACAAGGTATCAATCGGTTAGGACAAGGTTCCTGGCGGTCAGGACAAGGTTCCTGCCAGTGAGGACAAGTTTCCTGGCGGTGAGGTCATGGTTCATGGCGGTGAGGACAAGGTTCCTAGCGCTGACGAAAAGGTTTTTGGCGTTGAGCACAAAGTTCCTGGCAGTAAGGACAAGGTTCCTGGCGGTGAAGACAAGGTTCCTGGCGGTGAGGAGAAGGTTCCTGGCGGTGAGAACAAGGTTCCAAGCGGGGAGGACAAGGTCCTGGCGCTGAGGAAAAGGTTTTTGGCGTTGAGTACAAAATTCTTGACGGTCAGGACAAGGTTCCTGGCGGTGAGAACAAGGTTCCTGGCGGTGAAGACAAGGTTTCTGGTGGTGAGGACTAGGTTCCAAGCGGTGAGGACAAGGTTCCTGGCGGTGAGGACTAGGTTCCAACCGGTGACGACAAGTTCCTGGCGCTAAGGAAAAGGTTTTTGGCGTTTAGTACAAAGTTCCTGGCGGTGAGGACAAGTTTCCTGGCGGTGAGGACAAGGTTCCTGGCGGTAAGGAAAAGGTTCCTGGCGGTGAGAACAAGGTTCCTGGCGGTGAGGACAAGGTTCCTGGCGGTGAGGACAAGGTTCCTGTCGGAGAGGACAAGGTCCCTGGCGGTGAGGAAAAGGTTTTTGGCGTTGAGTACAAAGTTCCTGGCGGTAAGGACAAGGTTCCTGGCGGTAAGGACAAGGTTGCAAGCGGTGAGGACAGGGTTTCTGGCGCTGAAGAAAAGGTTTTTGGCGTTGAGTACAAAGTTTCTGGCGGTGAGGACAAGGTTCCTGGAGTTCAGGACAAGGTTCCTGGCAGTGAGGACAAGGTTCCTGGCGGTGAGGACAAGGTTCCTGGCTGTGAAGACAAGGTTCCTGCCGGTGAGGACAAGGTTTCTGGCCGTGAGGACGACATCCTCGGCGGTAAGGACAAGGTTTCTGGCGGTGAAGACAAGGTTCCTGGCGGTGAGGACTAGGTTCCAAGCGGTGAGGACAAGGATACTGGCGGTGAGGAGAAGGTTCCTGGCCCTGAGGAAAAGGTGTTTGCGTTGAGTACAAAGTTCCTGGCGGCGAGGTCAAGGTTCCTGGCGTTGAGGAAAAGGTTCCAAGCGGTGAGGACAGGGTTCCAGGCGCTGAAGAAAAGGTTTTTGGCGTTGAGTACAAAGTTTCTGTCGGTGAGGACAAGGTTTCTGCCGGTGAGGACAAGGTTCCTGGCGGTAAGGGCAAGGTTGCAAGCGGTGAGGACAGGGTTTCTGGCGCTGAAGAAAAGGTTTCTGGCGGTGAGGACAAGGTTCCAAGTGGTGAGGACAAGGTTGCCGGCGCTGAGGAAAGGTTTTTGGCGTTGAGTACAAAGTTCCTGGCGGTGAGGACAAGGTTACAGGGGTGAAGACAAGGTTCCTTGCGGTGGGGACAAGGTTCTTGGCGGTGAGGACAAGGTTCATGGCGGTGAGGACAAGGTTCCTGGCGGTGAGGACAAGTTTCCTGCCGGTGAGGACAAGATTCTTGGTTGTAAGGACAAGGTTCCTGGGCGTGAGGGCAGGGTCGCTGGGGGTGAGGACAAGATTCCTCACGGAAAGGCCAACGTTGCTGGCGGTGAGGAGAAGGTTCCCGGCGGTGAGGACAAGGTTGCTGGCGGTTAGGACAAGGTTCCTGGTCGTGAGGGCAGGGTCCCTGTGGGTGAGGACAAGATTTCCGGGCGGTTAGGGCAAGGTTCCTGGCAGTGAAGACAAGGTTTCTGGCGGTAAGGACAAGGTTCCAAACGATGAAGACAAGGTTCCTGGCGCTGAGGAAAAGGTTTTTGGCGTTGAGTACAAAGTTGCTGCCGGTTAGCACAAGGTTGCTGGCGGTGAGGGCAAGGTTCTTGGCAGCGAGGACAAGGCTCCTGGCGGTGAGGACAATGTTCTTGGCTGTGAGGACAAGGTTCCTGCCGCTGAGGAAAATCTTTTTGGCGTTCCGTACAAAGTTCCTGGCGATCAGGACAAGGTTGCTGCCGGTCGGGACAAGGTTCCAAGCGGGAAGGACAAGGTTCCTGGCGCTGAGAAAAAGGTTTTTAGCGTTGAGTACAAAGTTCCTTGCGATGAGGACAAGGTTTCCGGTGGTGAGGACAAGGTTCCTGGCGGTGAAGACAAGGTTCCTGGCGGCGAGGACAAGCTTGCTGCCGCTGAGGAAAAGGTTTTTGGCGTTGAGTACAAAGTTCCTGGCGGTGAGGACTACGTTCCTGGCAGTGAGGACAAGGTACCAAGCGGTTAGGACAAGGTTCTTGGCGGTGAGAACAAGGTTCCTGGCGGTGAAGACAAGGTTTCTGGCGGTGAGGACTATGTTCCAAGCGGTGAGGACAAGGTTCCTGGCGGTGAGGACAAGGTTCCTGGCGCTGAGGAAAAGGTTTTTGGCGTTGACTACAAAGTTCCTGGCGGTGAGGTCAAGGTTCCTGGCAGTGAGGACAAGGTTCCAAGCGGTGAGGACAGGGTTCCGCGCGCTGAAGAAAAGGTTTTTGGCGTTGAGTACAAAGTTTCTGGCGGTGAGGACAAGGTTCCTGGCGGTAAGGACAAGGTTCCTGGCGGTGAGGACAAGGTTCCTGGCGGTTAGGACAAGGTTCCTGGCGGTGAGGACAAGGTTCCTGGCGGTGAAGACAAGGTTTCTGGCGGTGAGGACTAGGTTCCAAGATGTGAGGACAAGGTTCCTGGCGGTGAGGACAAGGTTCCTGGCGCTGAGGAAAAGCATTTTGGCGTTGACTACAAAGTTCCTGGCGGTGAGGTCAAGGTTCCTGGCAGTGAGGACAAGGTTCCAAGCGGTGGGGAAAAGGTTTTTGGCGTTGAGTACAAAGTTTTTGGCGGTGAGGACAAGGTTCCTCGCGGTGAGGACAATGTTCTGGCGGTAAGGACAAGGTTCCTGGCGGTAAGGACAAGGTTCCTGGCGGTGAGGACAAGATTCCTGGCAGAGAGGCCAACGTTGCTGGCGGTGAGGACAAGGTTCCTGGCGGTGAAGACAAGGTTCCTGGCGGCGAGGACAAGGTTGCAAGCGGTGAGGACAAGGTTCCTGGCGGTGAGGACAAGCTTCCTGCCGCTGAGGAAAAGGTTTTTGGCGTTGAGTACAAAGTTCCTGGAGGTGAGGACTACGTTCCTGGCAGTGAGGACAAGGTACCAAGCGGTTAGGACAAGGTTCTTGGGGGTGAGGACAAGGTTCCTGGCGGTGAAGACAAGGTTCCTGGCGGTGATGACAAGATTCCTGGGGCTGAGGAAAAGGTTTTTGGCGTTGAGTAGAAAGTTCCTGGCGGTGACGACAATGTTCGTGGCAGTGAGGACAAGCTTCCAAGCGGTGAGGACAGGGTTCCTGGCGGTGAGGACAAGGCTCCTGGCGATGAGGAAAAGGTTTTTAGCGTTGAGTACAAAGTTCCTGGCGGTGAGGACTACGTTCCTGGCAGTAAGGACAAGGTTCCAAGCGATTAGGACAAGGTTCCTGGCGGTAAGGACAAAGTTCCTGGCGCTGACGAAAAGGTGTTTGGCGTTGGGTCCAAAGTTCCTGGCGGTGAGGACAAGGTACCAAGCGGTTATGACAAAGTTCCTGGCGGTGAGGACAAGGTTCCAAGCGGGGAGGACAAGGTTCCTGGCGCAGAGGAAAAGGTTTTTGGCGTTGAGTACAAAGTTCCTGGCGGTGTGGACAAGGTTCCTGGCGGTGAGGACAAGGTTCCTGGCGGTGAAGACAAGGTTCCTGCCGGTGAGGACAAGGTTCCAAGCGGTGAGGACATGGTTCCTGGCGGTGATGACAAGGTTCCTGGGGCTGAGGAAAAGGTTTTTGGCGTTGAGTAGAAAGTTCCTGGCGGTGAGGACAAGGTTGCTGGCAGTGAGGACAAGTTTCCAAGAGGTGTGGACAGGGTTCCTGGAGCTGAGGAAAAAGTTTTTGGCTTTGAGTACAAAGTTCCTGGCTGTGAGGACAAGGTTCCTGGCGGTGAGGACAAGGTTCCAAGCGGTGAGGGCAAGGTTCCTGGCGGTGAGGACAAGGTTCCTGGCGCTGAGGAAAAGGTTTTTGGCGTTGAGTACAAAGTTCGTGTCGGTGAGGAGTAGGTTGCTGGCAGAGAGGACAAGGTTCCAAGCGGTTAGGACAAGGTTCCTGGCGGTGAGGACAAAGTTCCTGGCGCTGACGAAAAGGTGTTTGGCGTTGTGTACAAAGCTCCTGTAGGTGAGGACAAGGTACCAAACGGTTAGGACAAGGTGCCTGGCGGTCAGGACAAGGTTCCTGCCAGTAAGGACAAGGTTCCTGTCGGTGAGGTCAAGGTTCCTGGCGGTGAGGACAAGGTTCCTAGCGCTGACGAAAAGGTTTTTGGCGTTGAGCACAAAGTTCCTGGCGGTGAGGACAAGGTTTCTGGCGGTGAGGACAAAATTCCAAGCGGTGCGGACAAGGTTCCTGGCGCTGAGGAAAGATTTTTGGCGTTGAGTACAAAGTTCCTGGCGGTGAGGACAAGGTTCCTGGCGGTGAGGACAAGGTTCCTGGAGCTGAGGACAAGGTTCCAAGCGGTGAGGACAAGGTTCCTGGCGGTGAGGACAAGATTTCTGCCGGTGAGGCCAACGTTCCTTGCGGTGAGGACAAGGTTCCTGGCGGTGAGGACAAGGTTCCATGCGGTGAAGACAAGGTTCCTGGCGGTGAGGACAAGGTTCCATGCGGTGAAGACAAGGTTCCTGAAGCTCAAGAAAAGGTTTTTGCGTTGAGTACAAAGTTCCTGGGGGTGAGGACAAGCATCCTGGCGCAGAGGAAAAGGTTTTTGGCGTTGAGTACAAAGTTCCTGGCGGTGAGAACAAGGTTCGTGGCGGTGAGGACAAGGTTCCAAGCGCTGACGACAAGGTTCCTGGCGCTGAAGAAAAGGTTTTTGGCGTTGAGTACAAAGTTTCTGCCGGTGAGGACTAGGTTCCTGGCAGTGACGACAAGGTTCCAAGCGGTGAGGACAAGGTTCCTGGCAGTGAGGTCAAGTTCCTGGCGGTGAGGACAAGGTTCCTGGTGCTGAGGAAAAGGTTTTTGGCGTTGAGTACAGAGTTCCTGGCGGTGAGGACTAGGTTCCTGGCAGTGAGGACAAGGTACCAAGCGGTGAGGACAAGGTTCCTGGCGCTGAGGAAAAGGTTTTTGGCGTTGGGTACAAAGTTGCTGGCGGTGAGGAGAAGGTTCCTGGCAGTGAGGACAAGGTTCTAAGCGGGGAGGACAAGGTTCCTGGCGCTGAGGAAAAGGTTTTTGGCGTTGTGTACAATTTTCTTGGCAGTGACGACAAGGTTCCTGGCGGTGAGAACAAGGTTCCTGGCGGTGAAGACAAGGTTCCGCGCGCTGAAGAAAAGGTTTTTGGCGTTGAGTACAAAGTTTCTGGCGATGAGAACAAGGTTGCTGGCGGTGAGGACAATGTTCCTGGCGTTGAGCACAAGGTTCCTGGCGGTGAGGACAAGGTTCTTGGCAGCAAGCACAAAGTTCCCGGCGGTGAGAACAAGGTCCCTGGCGGTGAGGACAAGGTTCCTGGCGGTGAAGACAAGGTTCCTGGGGAGAGGAAAAGGTTCCAAGCGGTGAGGACAAGGTTCCTGGCGGTGAGGACAAGGTTTTTGGCGTTGAGTAGAAAGTTCCTGGTGGTGAGGACTAGGTTCCTGGCAGTGAGGACAAGGTACGAAGCGGTTAGGACAAGGTTCCTGCCGGTGAGGACAAGGTTTCTGGCGCTGAGGAAAAAGTTTTTGGCGTTGGGTTCAAAGTTCCTGGTGCTGAGGACTAGGTTCCTGGCAGGGAGGACAAGGTACCAAGCGGGGAGGACAAGGTTGCTGGCGCTGAAGAAAAGGTTTTTGGCGTTGAGTACAAAGTTCCTGGCGAAGAGGACAAGGTTCCTGGCTGTGAGGACAAGGTTCCTGGCGGCGAAGACGAGGTTCCTGGCGGTGAGGACAATGTTCCAAGAGGTGAGGACAAGGTTCCTGACGGTGATGAAAAGGTTCCTGGGGGAGAGGAAAAAGGTTTTTGGCGTTGAGTACAAAGTTCCTGGCGGTGAGGACAAGGTTCGTGGCAGTGAGGACAAGGTTCCAAACTGAGAGGACAGGGTTCCTGGCGCTGAGGAAAAGGTTTTTGGCCTTGAGTACAAAGTTCCTGGCTGTGAGGACAAGGGTCCTGGCGGTGAGGACAAGGTTCCTGGCGGTGAGGACAAGGTTCCTGGCGCTGAGGAAAAGGTTTTGGGCGTTGAGTACAAAGTTGCTGGCAGTGAGGACAAGGTTCCAAGCGGTAAGGACAAGGTTCCTGGCGGTGAGGACAAGGTTCCTGGCGGTGAGGACAACATTCCTGGGGGTGAGGTCAACGTTCTTGGCGGTGAGGACAAGGTTCCTGGCGGAGAGGCCAAGGTTCCCGGCGGTGAAGACAAGGTCCCTGGCGGTGAGGACAAGGTTCCTGGCGGTGAGGACAAGGTTGCTAGCGCTGAGGAAAAGGTTTTTGGCGTTGAGTACAAAGTTCCTGGCGGTCAGACAAGGTTCCAAACGGTGAGGACAAGGTTCGTGGCGGTGAGGACAACATTCCTGGGGGTGAGGTCAACGTTCTTGGCGGTGAGGACAAGGTTCCTGGCGGTGAGGACAAGGTTCCAAGCGGTGAAGACAAGTTTCCTGCCGGTGAGGAAAAGGTTCCAAGCGGTGAGGACAAGGTTCGTGGCGCTGAGGAAAAGGTTTTTTGTGGTGAGGAAAAGGTTTTTGGCGTTGAATACAAAGTTCCCGGCGGTGAGGACAAGGTTCCTGGCGGTGAGGACAAGGTTCCAAGCGGTGAAGACAAGGTTCCTGGCGGTGAGGAAAAGGTTCCAAGCGCTGAGGAAAAGGTTTTTGGTGCTGAGGAAAAGGTTTTTGGCTTTGAGTACAAAGTTCCCGGCGGTGAGGACAAGGTTCCTGGCGGTGAGGACAAGGTTCCTGGCGCTCAGGAAAAGGTGTTTGTCGTTGAGTACAAAGTTGCTGGCAGTGAGGACAAGGTTCCAAGCTGTAAGGACAAGGTTCCTGGCGGTGAGGAGAAGGTTCCTGGCGGTGAGGACAAGGTTCCAAGCGGTGAAGACAAGGTTCCTGGCGGTGAGGAAAAGGTTCCAAGCGCTGAGGACAAGGTTCCTGGCGCTGAGGAAAAGGTTTT